AGCCCCGGCTAGGCAGCGTCCCCTCCTCGCCTTAGCGGCTCCGCTCGCGGGCTCGTGAGCTCCTCTTCACTCGCTCCCTGCCCCCGCCGCTACCGAGGCCGATGCCGCGCGGAGCCGGGCGGGCCACGGCTGCCTGCCTCTCCCCAGGTCCCTCTCCAGAGGAGGAGGAGGTGGGGGCGCGGCGCGGGCGGGGCGGAGAGGAAGAGTCGGGGGAGGCGGCGAGGCTGCGCCCTTCGCTCTTCTCCAGCGATCCCCGCGACCGGAGCGGCCCCAGGCCGGGCCCGAGAGCGCAGAGGCGCCAGGCAGCGGAGGGAGAGAGGAGGAGGACCGGAGCCTCGCCGCGGGAGGGTGCCCAGGGCGAGGGCGTGCGAGGGGGAGTGACTCCGCGCGCGAGGGTGTGTGTGAGTGTGTGTAGAGAGGCGCGCGCGTGAGTGGCGGGGGGGAGTGGAGGGGCGGGGGGACCAGGCAGAGCCTGGAGCGTCCCCCCAGGAGAGTGGAGGAATCCTAGGGTGTGCCTGGAGGTTGTGGTTGAGTGTGCCGACGCGGGTGTGAGCGCGTGTGCCGACAAGGGTGAGCACCGGGCGAGAATGGCAAGGTGAGCTTGGCTTGGGTGATGGGGGAGGAGCCGGGGTGCGGTGTGATCGTGAGTTCTCCCGGGCGTGTGTGGCTGGGGACCCGGGGAGTGTTGGCCAGGAGCGCCGGCGCGCGCGCGCGTGGGGTGTGTGCACTGAGCTGTCTGTTTCTCATTCACTGTCCACGCGGCCTCAGCAACTGCTGGAGGCCAAGCCCGGCCACCTGGCGAGGTGGAGACAGTCACCGCACTCGCTTCCAGGCTACCCCTGGGCTGTCAGTTGCGTGTACCGAGGCTGGAGGGGTCCCACCGGGGCAACACTGTCTATACGCCTAGGTCAGAGCCGCTGTCCTACTGCAGCGCAATGGTATGGCCGGAAGGTCAGGATTCGCTCCCTTCCTCCACCACGAGTGCTCAGGATCAAAACTCGGGACTCGGGAGCGTGAACTCTCATTCCTGAGGCGGGGTCCTCTTCCTCCCGGAGGGGACCCAGGCCCACAGTTCCTTCTCAAAGCGCAAAGATCCCTAGTGTCTCGGCTCAGGATAGGAGACTGGCGGGCACCCACTGAACTGGATGTCCGGCCAGACTTCCACGGTCACGGCCGCTGCGCGCGTAGAGCGCAAGTCCTGGCTTCTGGGCCGACGGGCGGCGCCGGCTTTCCCTGTGTCTCAGGCCAGCCTCGGTTCAGGGAATCCCAGGCTCTCAGCCTGGAGCTCGCGAGGCAGGCAGCTTCGTGCCTCAGCAGGGACCTGAAGGCTTTGGCTGCAGCGATCACAGTTCTGAGTGAGGAGAGGTGCGTGCTCAGACATGGATGGAAAGAAATTCGAAATGTGCGGCGAGAGTCAGGGTGAGGGTGAACAGACGTATTTGCAGGCATGCCGCTGGAAAGACTCTTCTGAGTCCAGAATAGGGTTTCTGATTTGTGGCCACCCGGAGCCTGAATCAGTTAGTTATTGTGGCCTGAGCTGTTCAGGGGGGCCTCTGGTAACTTGGAGACGCCTATTCACAGGCTCACTTACTCAAACCAAAGCTCTCTTCAGTGTGTTAGTCTGAAAGGTGCACAGTTGGCCCTTCAAAAGGTGGGCGTGGGTCCCATTAGCATTTGCCTGGAGTCCTGGAACTGTGTGGGATTTGCATACTGGTTTGCATACAGTAATAATGATTAACAACACTGCCACTCCCTGGCCAACCCGGGTAGAATTCAGGGAAGGCCCTCCCTCCCTTCTCTCTATGGGGAAAAGCTAATTTTCCTCACAATTGCCAACCTTGGCTGTAGTTGACAGGAGAGGCAGTGCTTTGTCTCTTGGTTGTTAGGTCCCAAAAGCAACACTTTCCTTTGGTCTTCCACCCCCATCCAAACTTGGGATAGTGGAAATCCAATATTTTATTTCTGCCTAGGTTTGAACTTCCTGTTCATTCTCTCTATTGTTTAGCAACTTGGGGGTATCTCAGGGGACAGGTATGTGGGACCATAGCCCTCCTTTGGAGTGATCTACTGAGACAGCTTGTGACCTCCAGAGCCTTAGAAGCCTAGCTTGAAGCCAGGACCTCATTCACACATCATGTCCCACCCCTCTCCTCCCCATCCCTCCCAAGTGTTTGTGAACTACTCTCTCTTTTTCTAGTCCAGGCCAGTATGGGTTTTGTTTACAGTCCTCTCCATGACCAGATGATGTGAAAAATAGAGCAAGTGAGGGAAGAAAGACGGTCCCTGGACCTGAGCAGCTGGAAGAGACACTGTCCAGAAGACATGGGATACTGGTCCTCCATCCCTCTGCACATCTCTTCAGCCGTGCCTCCCATTCCCCCCTCTGTCTCTGGCCCAGCCTGGCCGGGATTTTTCACTTGCTTTTCCCCCATGACACGGCCGCTTTTTCTTTAACTCTCAGCTTCTATTTAAAAAGCTAATTTGGGAGCTTGTCGATGCTCCCAATTCAGACATTTTAAATAGGAACTGAAAGTCAGGAGCTGCCAGGGCACTAGGTTTCCTCCTCTCACCATTGGCACAACTGAGGGGTTGGTTCAATCACTCTGTTGGCCCTGGCCCTGTGTGTCTGTGTGTGTGAATGCCGGCAAGCTCAGTGTGTATTTCAGGCTACCTTTTCTATTTAAAGACAGTGCTCCTATGGAAGGCTGGTGTGTGTGTGTGTGTGTGTGTGTGTGTGTGTGTGTGTGTGTGTGTGTGTGTGTGGTGTTCTTTCCAAGCTGTGCACACATGAGGCTTCTTTAGTCCCGAGGCTCTGGCCGCTATTTGCAGAGCTTCTCACTGTGTAGACTGTGAGGGTAAGAAGCCGCTTAACTCAAAGTCAGTTCCCTCTTTGCTGATATGCCAGGCTGATGTGTGTGCACTGTTCTTTCCCAGTGCTGCTATGCTCAGGCTTGCTCTTTGAAGCTTATCTGAGAGAGAAGGGTCTCCCCCATCCTCACTGCTTGTGGCTGTCCTGCTTTAGTCATTTGTCCCATCCTGGGCAAGCATTTTGGAGGTGGGACTATTCTGAAGGATGTAGACTTTCTGCATTCGGGGTACTGTGTACCTTGCAGGGAGAAAATAAAAATAAAAACCCCATAGACTTTTAGGTCAAACTGCCTGAGTTTGAACCTGCCTCTGCTGTTACCGAACTGTGGGACCTTAGGGAAGGTACTTGACCTATCTGTGCCATGATTTTTCTCATCTCTGAAATGTCAAATGATAGAATTGGAACACCTAAGTGAACTATCAAAGCATTTAGAACAGTGCCTGGAATCTAGTAGTTGGTTGTTGTTCTTCAAATAAGAGGTACAGAGAAATCTGGCTAAGGAAGAAGATAGAACTTCCAGATTACACACACACACACACACACACACACACACACACACACGCCCGCCCCATCGAATCATATGCATATGCAATAAAAATGCCAGGCCACAGCCCACTATGTCAAGGTCATCTTATTGGGATAGCTGAGTCCCCAACCTTCAGTAAAGAACGATGGAGCTGAGCATGGTGGCGCACACCTTTAGTCCCAGCACTTGGGAGGCAGAGGCAGGTGGATCTTTATGAGTTTGAAGCCAGCCTGGTCTACATAGTGAATTCCAAGCCAGCTGGGGCTACAGGGAAACCCTGTCTCAAAAAGACCAAAAAAAAAAAAAAAAAGGAATGATGTAATAGAGGTAAAGTCATAGGGATCAGGGTGAAGAAGAGGCCTGACAGGGCAGATACACATAGGCGCACATAGGGAATGTCGCAGAGACCAGTGTCATGTAGAAGGAGTAAGTTCCAGGACCTGATTGTCCACATGCTCTCGCCTCCCTACTTTCTAAGCACATATAGCCGTGCTTCAGAGGGGTGCTCAGCAGGGGTGGGCTCTAGTTCTAAGTCTCCCTCAGACTTGGTGTCACCTCCTTTGATCCTACCACTGCCTCCCACCACTGGGCAAAGGAATTTATGCATTCACTATCACACACAGTCCATCTCTCCTCAGTCCAGGAGCATATGAGGAGGACGTTGACAATGTAGGAGGCCAGGAGAAGGAAGAGGAGATACAAGAGACTGAAGACAGGAAGACTATCTGAGGGATACAGCACAACATTGCAAGTCCTGGGAATATCTGGCTTTGCATGTCAACTTTGAGCTAAGCAGCCACCCTATGTTGCCTGCTGGCTATGTCTTCCAGAGTCTTATGATAGACAACATCACTTACAGATGAGCAAGGGAAGGTGGTTGGTAGAGGGGGACCACAGCCATGTGAGGCTCTGCACTTTTTTGATTGCTAGTCTGGGGATGCTCGCTCTTCTTCCTCAGGGTAGGGATGTACCTGGGGAGGACACTCGTAGCTTGGTCCTGATGGCCTCTCCCATGGCTAGCTTCCATGACCTTGGGGTGGGGAGAAGCTGAGTTGGTCAAGATCAGGGTTGTAATAGAGGTAAATAGAGTAATAGAGTTTCCCTCAGGGCGAAGTCTGCCTAGGAATCACACAGGACTGTGGTGACATGTTTTTCTTTGTGTTTTCCAAAGTGGGGTAAGTGATGATGGTGTGGATGCTGCGGAAGGCCAGGGGTTCACCCCTCGGGTATTATTTCAGGTTGTTTTGTTAGCCAGACAAGGATGTGTCATCTATCACTGATGGCCTTGATGGCTGAACTCAGAGCCATCAGAAGGTTTGGTCCCTTCCTGATGGGAAGACACTCACTTCCTGCAGCCCTAACCTTACTTGGGAAGCCAGTATCACTATCCTTAGACCACTGAGACAGTGTCACAGATGCTGGACTCAGTGGGGCTTCAAAAGTCAGTCCTTACTATAGGCATCTCAACCCCCCAGCACCTTCATTGACTGAGCAAATCCTGGGGGAACATAGCTTGGGGAGAAGGGGAAATCTGTAAGTATCAAGATCTAGTCCTCTCAGAGAGTGGGCAGGGAGGGGGCAGAGGTGAGGGGAAGAAAAGAAGTATGAGCTGAATTGGAGACATGTCCTAGGAGTAGAAAGGGTCATTGGTTTAACTTTTCTGTAAACAGTTTGGAGAAGGCTGGGTGCAGCTAAGGATCTAGCTCTGAGGTACACTGACTGTACCTCCTCCTAGTGTGTGTGTGTGTGTGTGTGTGTGTGTGTGTGTGTGTGTGTGTTCATGTGTGTATAAGTACCCATGTATGTATAGATGTGCATGCACATATGATATGTGTACATGCAGAGATCAGACATCCACCTCAGGTTTGTCCCTTACGCAGTATCTACCTTGTGTTTTGAGACAAGGACTCTCTTTAGAAACCAGGACTCACCAATTAGGCTAAACTGGCTGGCCAGCAAGCCCCAGGGATCCTCCTGTCTCCACCTCCCCAGTGTTGGGA